GAAGTAATATAGTGAGGATTCCGTGGGCTGTCGAGTGATATGTTTTTTTTGAGTAATCTGCCTTCCTCTAGCGAATTAAAACGCAGGTATTGACGAAAAGGTGAGTTTTCGCAACAATTTTCATTATTTTGTGAACAAAAATGTCCATCGGTGTTGCAGGACTGCTTTTCTTTGAACAATTAAACTTGCCTTTGAATCTACCAATTACATTCCTCTGATCCTTTTGAGTCTAATGGTTTGCTGTTGTCGCGATAAGCTTGATTGCAATCAGAAAGTCTAATCTATTATTTAAACAGGGCTTCAAGGATTGGAACAAGCAGGTTTGGCAACCGAGGAAAACCAGCATCGAAATTGTTCGCCCAATGCTACTGAACAACTGTAAATGCAAAGCATTTCCCTCTTGTGGTGCTCCAAAGGAATCTTTACAATGAGCGGAATGTTCAAGACCTCTTTCCTGTACGGTCTCATACCCGTTCGGATGTCGGGCCGATGAACGGGATGATGGGATTCTGTCTTTACTTGAAAAGATGGATTTCAAGACGAATTGGCCTACAGACTACTGCCTTACTGAGGGAGCGTAGAGAAAAATGAAGAAACAGTACAATTTATGCTGCACTTCCGAAAACCTTGATCTCGGTAAAAGAATTTTACGGTTTCCAGTTTCGTACATACTTTTTTGGGCCCAAGCCGAGGATGCCTATTGACATGGAATGCATGCGCGCGCAAAAGGAGCAGCAGCGCCATCCGTCCCTCAAATGATTGATTACTCGTAGATGTGAATTATGATCTGCTTTGTCGACTTATTGAAGAAAAGGAATTCAGTCTGTGAGCAAGAAATGATTGGTGAGTTAGAAAATGGATGGTAACTGCAAAGGAGCCAGACGTTATAAAGGGACAAACAAAACGAGACAGATGAGAAAGAGATAATGAGTGATGGACAATGGGAAAGCAAACAAAACACGATAATTCAATGACATTAAGAAGGATGGAGTTCGTGATAGCATTAAACTGGGATTTGCTATCTAGTCGTTCATAGCCGAAGATCCCTGTTCAACCTTAAAGCCTGATCACAAATGGTCATGGACCGGAGGTTGCCGACCTTTCTTTGCCTTCTTATGTTATTATACCACGCTCCTTTCCTTCCAAACGAATCTGTTGGTAGGTAATAAACAGGTGTGTTGATCACAAAGGAAATTAAAATGCATCCAACGTCCACAGAATCTGTTCCCACGACCCACGAACGACTAGGAGTCTTTAACTACTGGGACCAATGCTCAATAGGAACACTACTAACTTTCAGTTGAAAGAATCCCTTTTCAGCCTGGTTCTGATGCTGGAACTGCAACTAATCGATTTTTTTTCGTACCCATTGTCTCCGTGTGCGATCGCAGACGGACAGAAGAAGAACTACTCTTCTTTTACATGGTTAGTACGCCCCTCGCAGGGCGTTCCTTCCAAGTGAGGTTTGGGCGTTTGGCTGAACGTTAAGACCCACTGCAAACTTTCTGAAGCGCTTCTGATCGTGGTAATGCCACATATCGATTTCAGATCATCCCAAGATCCTTGGATTCAGTTTTTGGTATCCCGAATCCTGCAAACTACATTTAACTTCGAAAGGGGCTTGTGAACGACAGATTTATAAAAAGAATTATATACAGAATTGTTCAGCACAGCCAGTGGTCAAATTGCTTTCAAAATACTTTTGTAGAATTTTTGTCCTCATTCCAATCCTCATCATAGTAAAGCAGAAAAGCCAAACGATTCTTATCTGTACCAGTTACTCGCTCCCGACTATGAACAGTTTGATATGAAAATAAAATTATCAGTTATCATGGAATACATAGGAACAAATATAAAACGAGTAAGCAAATAGCAGAAGTGGAATCGATTTCGATCTCACGATCTAGAGTTGTGAACTATAATGCTACTTGATCCATTTCAGTTTGCAGTGATGGCGGCAAGAAACAACTCCAGTCAACGTCAAAATGAATAAATGAACAGGTTAGTAACTTTAAAAATGAATAAAGATATAAATGGGAACAAACAAATGAGTGCCCTTTCTATGACCCACTACCAGTTTCTATATAAAAGGATAAGGGATAAAGTTTTTGGCGTTGATCAATCCCTTCTTAGGGATGCGCCCCGCGCTAGACTTCCATTCAGAATTGTACTGGCGTAATGAGTGCGTATGTGGCCTATACAATGATTTGCAGTGACCAGCCGATGTACAATNCCCGTGACGGTGTGTGCGAGATAGTGCGCCACCTGCCACTAAACCACCTCCTCCCTAGTCTCCATATACATATATTATATATATTGAACATAATTTTTGCATGCAGAATCCTTTCAATTTCAAACTCTGGTTTCAGTGCCAGTGTGGCGAAATGGCTAGCACGGGCCTGCAGCCTGCATAGCACAAGGTTCGAAACCCGCCTCGCCTGCCAGGCTTCATTTAGGGAAAAAAGAGGCATCGATATGAAGAGCCCTACAAAGCATAAATGGAAAGAATATAGTCCTCAGTGTTATCTGTTCCCATTCAGATTGTCAATGTCTCTTGAAGTCTCTTTTGGCTAAAAATCCAGATTGAACAGTCGTTCAAATGTAAAGTAGTAGTATAGTAATGTAAAGTATTTCTTTTGGGTGAAGATCGAAAATGAGCCGCATTTTCATCCAGAGGATGAGAAATGGAGTTTCTTACCATTTTGAGATGCATCCCTGTGGTCACGGTTTAAAAGCATACGTGGCGTAAACCATGACGTAGGATTCCCGGCCGATTACAACAGTCTGCATTTTTATCCTCCAAAACGAGTGCGGTGCTTATTGATCGACTCCATATGGATGGAAAGCATTGTTGGCTTGGGCGAATTTTGGTCAAGGATTCGAACTCCGAGCCATGCCTGTGATATTGTCAGATTCGCCACTACACCACGTCTGCCACATGCATAAACGAAAGTGTTAATCTAGCTTTTCCTTGTTTCCTCCACTATTTGCTAACTGTGGACTTTCATTTGTTTAAAAGCCTTTCAAGCAGATGAAGATGACTATGAAGGATGTCTAGTCTGAAGGCAAGTAAACCCGTCCGCCTCTTAGGTGTTTATTTAACTTTTCAGCGGTTGAGCTGTTGAACAAACGTTCACGTTTCTTCCAAAGTCAAGGACTATCGAATTCGTCCGGTTCATTCCAGCTGATTCACGTTTAATATCGTTCTGATACGTCTTATAACGTCTAGTCAACGTGGTGTTTAATATAAAGGCTACTGACCAGCTCCACTCATTACTGCTTTACTTGTAAGTGTTTTTTTTCCATTGTACCCTCTAGCCTCGAACTGACCCGTACTCTTGGCCACATCTATGCTTCCCGTGCGCTCCTATCCACTGTACTAGAAGTTGCAATTGGTAAAGGAGGGAATCATGGCTGTTAATCCTTTTTTTGGATGCGCCTGCAACTCGACTTCCATTCAGAATCGTAGAGGCGGTTTGAATGTGGGGCCTGACTTGCAGTCGATTCGGTGGCCAGCCAATGTAGAAGTCAGTGCTTTTATCCTCCCAGATGAGTCTGATACCAGAGCACCAACCAGAAGGAAAGCAAGGCTTGGTTTACCTGGGCATATCAACCCGGGATTCCATCCTAGGACCAAGCGCATGACATAGTGGCAGCGCCACTTGTCACTACGCCACCACTGTCCGAAAATTCCCATGCCATCAAAAAGCTGTTAGCTCGGGCAAAGTCCAACATTTGGGCAAATTCTCAAGAGAGTTCGAAGTTCCAAAGCCCAGGAATTTGTGGTTAGATTGCCCTTACAGCACGCTTTTTCAGGCGAATGTACTAATCGTATAATGGTAACAGTTACAAGTATAAATCTGACCAACTTTTAATGAATCAATCTGCTACGCCTTGTTATTTTTGGCGTTTTTCGATGAATCGACAGTCGCCGACGCGGCAGCAGCGTTCGGACGGCGTGTGTTATCACGTTGAATTCTGTGATATCAGTCACATATAAGTGACGACGACGACCAGATAGGCGACGCTTCTGGAGGCAGCCATGAAGATGTTGATTCTGGCGGCGCTGATCATTACTATCACTATCAACGTCAATGTAGTAAGTTACCCCGTTACCGGTTATCCTTTGATGTTTTACTTTATGAACAGTTACTTTGTAAAAAAATCATATATACTGAACATGTAGATTCCTTCAATACATATTGGTATTCCATTTTACATAACACTTATTCATTGGTGATTCAGAACGGCGCCAAAGTCGACAATGTATTCACGGAGTGCTCTGAGGTACTGTTATTACATTCTTTACAGAGAAAAGTATAGATTGATTTATGGTTTTGCCATAACTAAAATACCTTTGTTGTTTGATCTTGACAGACTTTAGTACTGCCTAGTTCTGTCTATAGAGGCAATCAATTGTGGTGTGCTATGAAGTGATCGTCAACAAAAACTTCGGACCATTGATAAGGCCATGCTTTCCATGTCATCTGATGAGCAGCAAAATAGGCACTTTTACGACTGTGCTTGATCAACCCCTCACAATCTTACTGTCAATAACAAGTAAAACTGTTCGTTTACTATTTCAGAACGAATATTACGATGAAGAAACCGAGACTTGTGAACCATGTACTGAATGCAAGAACTCTCACTACGAGAGGTAAACCATCCTTTGAGATCAGTTAATATGAATGAAACCGTAAAAAACTGGGCAAATTAACTCTAACCCTACAGAAAACTGGTATTTTTACAATTCCTCTATGCCTTTCACTTTCCCAGTGATTCTCCCTTCTGATACTTGCCCTGGAATTAGCCTTTGTAACACTACCGAAGCTGGAGAACTGAACATGTATAATTGATCAATTATTAATGAAAATTATCTGGGGACTATCGATTTATCAGTTAAAAATATTAATATAATGTCTACAAACTTAGAAAACAGAGTCACGATGGGGACAGAACGAAAGCCCGGGTTGTGGAGCGTTCGACAGGGGTAGTTCTCGGTCAATAGAGAGGGCTGGGGAAAGGAAAAAGCATCTCAACTGCCCGTGACACGTCTCTTTTTCGGAGACCATTTTTGACCTTTCCAAACTACAAAGTTGGTTAGAATTAGGAGCAGGGAGGGGGTGGTAGTTGAACCGGAAGTATAAAGTACGACAGCGCTAGGATTCATTGGCTTCTTTGAAGGTATTCCACTCAGCGGAACTCAAAACCCGTGCGGTAAAAATCAACGGCGTAGTGGAGTATCAAATACTACTGTCTAGTATTCTGCACCCGTCCTGTATCGAGTGGGGGACAAGCCGATTAGTTCCGCTACTATTCCTCCCCCTAAAACCTGGTTTTCAACAGTAGTTCTCACACTGCTATGAGCGATAGATAAGCGCATTTGCTTGGTGTGAGGTTGACACGAACCCCCTCAAAAACCCATTCAAAGAAGGGGTCCGTCGTGTGTGAACAGACGCTTGTCTTACGAATAGCGGATTTCGTCGTTTTTTAAAACCTGGGAATTGGGCTAGAGATCGTGCAGAAGGGCTATCATAGCAACAAAAATGTGTTCCGGCTTTCGAATTCTGAAATTTTCTTAAACGTCTAGCGAATCTCTTAGGTACCATTGTTGCGTTGCTATCTTGAAATATATATGATAAATATATGATTTTATTCATTGGAATACACTTGAGAAGTATATCATTCTTACCTATAAAAATCTAATATACCTATACAGTAACCTTTGATTTGCCATCTCATATGCCGCTATTGTCACTTTTTACCGTCACTAGCTACAAACCGCATATTTGGGATACATTGTGGTACCCTATAAACATGTTCGGAACGATATCCGCCTGGACCAACCAAGCCTTGCATCCTATGGGGTCTGTTAATTTGTACCAGGCTCGACTAGGAGGATAAGTGTGCTGGCTTGAACATTGGCTGGCCACCGCAAGTCATTGCACAGGCCACATACGCATTCATTACGCCACTACGATCCTGAATTGAAGTCGAATGCAAGGCGCATTCCCAGACGGGATTGATTGAAGCCTGAAGACTTTATCCTTTATCCTTTATTAACACGTACATAGCTTTTAAAGAAAACTTTTGGTAAGAAACAGGTTTGCAAGTAGGATTATTCTTTATCATCTCCATTGAAACTTAGTAACTGTGATCCCACCTGGGGGATAGGAGGCCTCGTTGGAGATGGCGTAATTCGTCGCTACTCCAACTTCACCCTAGGGGGATTATAGTACTCAGTACTCAGGTTCTTGGTGTTGTCGTACCAAAGCTTCGCACTCTTAACACTACACTTTTTACCTATCAATTAACTGAGTAAATACTTCGAAGCAATTTATTTTCAGGCAAGCATGCACGGTGTTCAGAGACAGAGTATGTGGCTGGTGCGGAGCGGTAAACGCGGAGAGGAATCAGGATTTCTAGTATGATTACTAAAACTTAGCAGGCTTCGCTCAGCTTTTTCTTTTTTTCATACCAGTTAATTTCCAATGAATCCCAAAACAGGTTTGATTTCAGTAGAAAGTGCCACTGGAGACGCACACATGATCCAATGGAAGCAAGAAAATACGAAAAGGAATTTCGAAAGAGAATAATGAATTCCATATTGAAGGAGGATGGTAGAAAGACTAGCGACGAGGTGAGTCAAAGTTCTATAAGCAGAACATCAGTAGTTGGAANCTCAAGGTCTTGGTAGTGTAAGGGATGAAGGAAACGATGCTCACAAACACAGTTGCGGGTTCGGTCTTTGTGTCAAGAATTCCCCGTTTTCAACATAATCCGCCATCCTTGTGAGACAATCGCTTTGCATACTGAGACCAAAAACAACTATTACTAAAAAGAGAAGTTAAACAGTCCAAGAACATCTGTTACAGTAGTTGAGTGAGGACTATAGTAGTAACCAATAAGTAATAACTATAGCTGATTGATAGACTAGTTTCACAGTCGGAGACTGCAATCCCTCAGCTAACCCTTTCGCTTTTCGAATGACCAATACGAGCTCATCGACACATAGTAATCAACTACAGAATAAAAACTCTGGATAACTGAGGTCCCAGGCATGCTCTAGCATGCCACATTCAGCCCATTCGATATGCGATCATCATTGCAGGCATGATTCCACTGTTAGTTCTTTTGTTCCTGAATTACTTACTTGCTGCTGCATTCATTCATACATTCATTACATTCCTTTGCACGCGGCGTCTCTCGCCGCAACGCGACAATTTCATTCCTGCTGCATCACGCCCACTCGAAGACTTTCTCAACTTCTCCATCTTTTTACATCTGGTCAGGACGACGTCATGCAGATCTCCAAAAGACTCGCAGGAGACGGGGCGGGTTGTACCCCAAGTAGAATTTCGGCGATCATATGAGCTGAACTAGTTTTACATACGTGGCTTGAAACTGATACCCATCGTGCGCAGCACATACACAAGCCGATCTTACCAATGGACCGCTCCAGTACTCGTAACTGAAGCCCGAATCTACTTCCGATCTGGTCGTATTTTGTGCAGTGTGGAACGTATGTGCTCAACCTGTTTTCAGATCATTGACGTTGATGAACATTCTGATCGCCGACGCCTTCCACCTCTACCCACTGACGAATACGACGATGACGAGGTCATATTGCTTCTACATCGTTACGATTATATTGTCACCTTACTATATCAGGGTTACTGAAAATCTGGTTGTGATCGTAATTAGTGATCTTCAAGGGGACCTCAGGCCACGGTGCGATTTTGTATCATACTGTATGAGCTTCTAGATGGGCCGCTATGCCGTACGAATCCCATAGGCCCGCATAACATGACCCACAGGAATCTTACATTCAAAAGGGGACTGGCCTAGAAAATCCCAGCAAGTGCGTTGGACAAGATTAAAGGCCTTTCAATCCTGTACCACAGCTTAAGAAACCTTTCCAATCACCTGACGTACGTTGTAGTCCAACTGTATTCTTTATACTCTCAGCGACACTCATAGTAGTACTCTGAGGTAACGACTTTGTCAAACCTAAAATTTTGGGAACCACTGTCTAAAGAAATTGGTCTCCGTTGGTACAGTTTCAAATCTGACTAGTCTCCTTCATTACTACGTGTTTTTTGTTCTGGCCCCTNGTACTCTGAGGTAACGACTTTGTCAAACCTAAAATTTTGGGAACCACTGCCTAAAGAAATTGGTCTTCGTTGGTACAGTTTCAAATCTGACTAGTCTCCTTCATTACTACGTGTTTTTTGTTCTGGCCCCTGTCAAAAAACAGTTAAGCAGCAGTTCCATAAGTAACTGACTCAAATGTTTCGGCCTGACGACTTTGCTACTTCAAAACTGTAAATAAGCGATTCATAGGCAAGGAATGCGAATGATGTCAAGCAAGTGGGGTTGTCAAATCTTTTTCAATGTTTTGTAGACCCGGTTTTCAAAAAAAATTCTACGAGGGGAAAATCTGTGAACGATTCCAACCATCAATGCAAAAAGTAGAACAGCTGCTGAATTCCATGGTGGCGGAAGCATTCAGAATAAATCTGATTGGGAAAAGGGCTACCTTTAAGGCACAGTTCACGACGAATGGTTCCTGAGATATATCCTGTGTACCATATGGGGCACTGTCAGATTGGAAAGGGGCCCAGCTAGGGCGCTCTAAGGGTTAATACACTGAAACGGCTTATGCCACACATAAAAGCGGACGAGTTCCGAGGAACTGTGGGAATGGCATCATACACAAGGGACACTCGTGTTAGAAATTCTAGCACATAGTTCCGAACCACAGCGACAGTGGAGGTAGTTTTGGGCAGTTTCGGCCTTCAGTCTGTAGTCAGTCTTCACCAAACTATTACGATTGAAATCTCGTCCGAAGACCCCTTCCATATTATTTTCGGCTGGCAAACTCGTACGAACATCACTCTTAGTACTTTTAGTTAGCTGTATTTTTAGCAAAGCCGGCGAATTTTCTCACTGTCTTCGCCACTGATGCACCGATCTGCAAACGCCCGCTTTCCTACATAAAGGGATGCCCCGAAATCATCATAAACAGCGTCTTTAGGCCCATAGGATTGAGCCCTGTATGGACATTTTGCACTTGAGCAAATCTTCTAGTTGAGAAAGGCCTATCAAAGAGCATGTTTAATCTAGAATGGACGCAGGACGGGCTTGCATGAACAGACGATCGCGAATTCACAAACTTCACTAACATTTGTTCAAACGAAGAAAAAACCCCTTCCTTCATGTTTATTTTGTTCATAGTCAAATAGTTTTCATTTTTCGAAACCCTTGTTCAGTGCATTCACTTGAATTTTTCAGTATGCCGACGAAGAGGACGTGAAATACGAGGTACCATCGTCAGAGGAGGAACTACAGGGAGTGGTCTGTTTGAATTCGAATCAAACATTCAATTTTCTATATTTTTACGAATAAGTGACCCAAAAAGAACGAAGTCCCTCCCTCTGTGAGAAGGAGCCAACGAAAATCATGTGACAGGCAAAAGGGTAGCCAAAGCGTTGCCATTTGAATCTCAGTATACTGACAAGAGTTACCAGTTACCGAAGAGTTACCGCTAAAACAGCGATCAAGAAACTCTATTTGGAAGGAAAAGAGAAAAAGCGAAACGTGTAAGAATGAAAAAAAAGATTGGTAAATAGTGGAATCGTCAAAGGGAAAACTCTCCATTTTCAATTGTTCTCAAAACATTACATTTTCCTGATTAAATTGGAGCTATACAATGTTTAATCTTCACCTTCTATTGCGTATGACTAAAGTTCCTTCACACAACACTCACATCTTTTCAACTTTAGCTTTCATCCCTCGATTCCGTATCCTACTCGTTCCCTCTCTTCCTTTTCTTCTTGCTCTCCAACATTTCTGCCACATCGCAAGTGGGCCATCTAACCTGCCATTGACGCAACTTTTCCGAAACGGACCCCTCTATATATTAAAAAAGATGTGTTGATTGTTATCAAAGTCAACTATCTTAAAGTCTACCTACATACATACAAAGCAGGCCACCCAGCCAGTTTTACTTGCAGGTCAACTTGGCACCGGTCTTTCGGTCGTTATCAACATTTGCGCGTAGGAGCTGACCGCACTATAGGGAACTTTGAACATTGATCAGTGTTCTTAGTAACAGATAATAATTATAAAACAAGAAACAATAATAATGATAATATTGCCAAAGAGACGAAGGTTGTGTAGTGGCAAGTGTCGCACTACTTCACATGTACGGTTACGGGTTCGAGTCCCACACCGGTATCTGTCTAAGCAAACCAAGCCTCCCATCCCTCCGGGGCCGATAAATTGGTAGTAAGCTCGTCTGAGAGGATAGAAGCACTGACTTGTACATCGGCTGGCCACCGCAATTCATTGTATATAGCCCACATGCGCATTCAATACGCCCCTACGATTCTGGAAGTGGAATGCGTGGCGCATCTTTAGGGCGGGATTGAGTAACGCTCCGAGACTTTGTCCTTCAAGACCTTCTTTCCGAAGAACAAGCTCACAGTCCGTACTGTAAAATGCTACCGGTCAAAAGTTGTTTTCTAGCTTTTTGAAGTGAAGTCCATTAGCATCTATCTCTTTCCTGGCTAGAACTCCCATCATTGATAACCATTTGACCCATACTGAATTTTAAAAAACAGGCTTCTTCCAGGCTTGGCTATCAATTCGATCGAATCCTGCTCATCTAAACTGTGTCGGACAAATAGGCCCTTTTGAAACCTGTACTGAATCTTAAAATCACATTATCAGTCTGCCCCATTTTCTACTCCTACACGTTCCTGGTCTATTCTCTATCTGCTCTCAAAAGTGAAATCTCCATTCATTACACGTTCCTTCAATCATTTGGACCTTAGGAGCTGATTCTCTCTTCAGTGTTGGATCATTACAATCTGCCTCGAAGCAACTTTCTAGTTCTCCCATCATTGCCATAATTCTGCATTAATAGCGTGGATCATGGCTACGTCTCATAGAGAAGTTACCGTTTCTGTGGTTCATATCCTCAAACCTGGAGTCGATAACCGGTCAAAACGATGAGGTGCCACTTCCCGTTCCATCTGACGTGTAAAATTTTCGGGAGCGGCGTAGGTACCGCCCTGCCCGTCTCGTCCGTCCTTTGACGATGTACCTTACAGAGTGGAAAGATAGACGCTGATCCTGAAGTTGTTGTCGAGCTCGCAAAGCATCCTCATATAACATAATGAGAAGGAACACCTTGGTTGCCCGGTGCTTCGATTACCGCTTCTGTCTCGACGGTGCCAAGGTTTTCTCCGTATCGATGGCTCGAAGACATAACGGCATTTTGTATTCTCGCGATACTTCAATGAGTCTTGTAAGGGTGTGGATATGATCGATTGTACTGAACCCTCTCCGAAACCCTGCTTACTCGCATGGCTGTCCTTCATCTAATATTCTGTCAATACTGTTGAGGATGACGCGTGTGAAAGATTGTAGTTTTCAGGTAGAGGGAGACTGGGTCGCATGTAGAGCATAACCAGGGTTCTGAGTTGCTGAAAGACTTCTGAGATGTTCTGGTTTGATCCTAATGGGACCGAGCGCCGTACACCTGTTAATCGACAAAATGGCATTTTGAATTTCGGGAGAACGTTAGTACTATATCAATCCTACTAATGACGGCAAGCTAGCAGGTAGACGCAGTTGTCAAGGGGATCCGATTAAAATGCTTGCCCTTCAAGATGCAGGAGCTATTCCGTCAGACTTCAAAGAAGAGACTGTTGGTCTTGCAAATGGTGAAGCTTGACGGGCCTTGCAAATGCTCTTCCACCTCTTGATGGCTTCGGCCAATATGACCGCTCCTCTATCTTCCAGACCTTCCTTTGTAGCTCTCCTGCATAGCTTTGCAAGCTCGCTAGCACACGGTACATGCAACCCCACAAGCCCTTTCATTGTTAGATTCGATAATAGCAGACTTACTCATGTACTTGAACCGGTAAGAAATTTTGATCATTAAGTATTGTTCAGGATATCATAGGCAGTGTTGTGGTCAATCCAATAGATGACCAATATGACGAAGAGGTCGTGAAAAAGCCGAAGGTAAACTTGTTTCCCTGATGTGTAGCCAACGTGATGTTGAACTTGTCGACATGAACTAGTAAGGTTCATAACCTACTTTTTCCACAGAAACACGACTTCGCCCCAATCTCTGGCGATGAGTTCCTTCGAAGTGATGACGCATCTGGAGAAGACGATGAAGTAAGAATTAGTCTTTACCCAGTTGTTTCACCTCGTTTCAAAGAACTAGCGCACTCACTATCAAAGTCCTCAGAAACTTACAGCAGGGTCCTTCTTCTCAATTATGGGAGCGCATGATTTGAGGCAAATAGAATATAAATTAAAAATTAAATCAAATACCTATAAGCGGATCTTCGTATGCTCCTAAACCTATACGATAAAAATCCAGCGCAACCTTCCCGTCCCGAGTTATTCACACTAGCTGGGCCCTAATGCAAAGACCAACAAAAGGCGCATTAGGACCGATTCGCAGGACTGTTAAACGTGGCTCTACCTTTAGTCTAACCCCTTTTGGCCCTCCTGCAGAAACCTCTAAGTGTTTACCGGTTCAATTTTTTCCCCCTTCGAAAGGATAAAATTATCCCAAAGAATACAGTGACGGATTCCTACAGCCTCTCAAAGTCGCCAAGATACACGAAGTCCTGACTGAGCTCATTATAAACGATTTCAGGATGACAAAGAGTTGGAGGAAGGAGATGTAAAGCCCCTAGAAGTTGATGAGGAGAAAATCGGCCAAGACGACGATTTGGTGAGCTTTGAGTTATTTCTTTTTCAAATCACTAATAGAGACTCTGGAAATGCACGCCTTTTAGGAGGATTCTGGTGAGCTGCTCGAGGGCACCGGTGGTCATGTGAACATCGTGGCCATTGCTATACGAAATAAAAAGTAAGCATTTACTAGCTTTGGTCCATTTACTGATTGTAAGCGCGTGTTTATCGGTTATTGACGTCATTACGGTGGTGGTTTGACCGTATCATGGGTTATCGATTCAATGAGGCAGACCTCAGATCGCACTGATCGATATCGATTATTATGTCGTTACTCATAGGTATAGCTTAATACAAAAACTTTCAGAAGGAACGACCAGGAAGTGGACGGGTACGATTCCAGCTCTGGTTACACCATCAACTGCCATTTTGTACGTAAATTTGCTGTTATTTTTAAGCATTATAAATTATTAAATCATTTGAATTACTTAATCAATCAATCAATGGAAGCATTACAAGTTTTAGGACGCTTCTACTTGTTATCGTTTCGGATTACAACACTCATCAAATACTAATAGACCTTCTAGTCACACGGTACCTGAGCGTAATCGAAAAACAAATGATTCAGTCAGCAGGAAGGAATATTTTAGTTTATAAGGTAGATCTGGAGGAAATTCTCTACTCCATGCGGCAGCAGCTAAGTCAGGAAGGAAGCCAAGCTCATGTTCACGAAGTGGGTTACAAAAACCGGAAATCGGAATGCACCTTTGGCACTCAAAATTAGGAAACGGATAGCAACTGATCTGCATATTGCACACTGTAGCCTATAGGGAGAGCTTCTCTTGAATTTAGATTAGCCGGTGATAATTCGTAAATAACGGTGCATATAGGCCGGAAAGCAGCTTGCAGGTCGAGGGCCGATTGATTCAGTCAAGAAGAAGCAAGAATTCGTGACTATTCAATCTGACAGTAAGAAGGGCATAGATGTCCATGATTGACTGAAAACTATCGAGGTCTTGTGCTAGGCACCAAACATCGGGAATTCACGATTGAAGAGGAGGAAAACGCTTTTAACCCAGTGTAGCCTGAGAAAAAAATCGTGAATCAGTAGGAAATTAACTTACCTCTTTAGATTGGAGAGGTCGTACTGCTCGTTATAGACCGGGTGAAGATTGTATAGCAGAAAGACAGCTGGGATTCCTCACAGCATGACTTAATTCGTCGTGTAGTAAAAAGCCTAAATGGTGCTATGTAAGCAATGACGGATCAATTTTGGCACTATGGTAGGGTAACACTAAAATAAAATTCGAGCAAGCGCAAATTAACAAGAGCGTGACAACGAATAGATAATTTTGAGCAATCATCAGCAAAGGTGGTTCCAAGAAATCGTATTTTCATGCTTACTTCAAATCAGTGCCGTAACTCAAACGAGTAATCCACCTAGATGACATCCCACATACTGGTACTAAGCTTTATCCACACTTTAGAACGTTTTCGCACACAACTGCCGAGTTTCGATCTCAACCCCGCCCACTTCGGTGCACGCCCCGCCCACCACCACTTACATTTGAAGTCTCTTCCCTTGCTATCCCTTTCAGTTTTATTCCATTCACGAGCTAACTAGGCATTATACTTCTTACAATTAGATCATCCATCTTTATATAGGAGGCTACATAAAGCTTCAAACATATAGATGGAAGTCTCCAAAGCAACTGACAAAAAAGTGTTAATATGAATGTTATACAGATTGGCGTCCTACTTTACGTGGTCTGCTTTGTTCTTCTACTCGGTGCTGTTCTTAAACGGTATGCTACTGCTATTATCACTTTAGATAATAGAAATTTAAGCAGGCATTGAGTTTCAGTTGCTTCACTTCGACGCACACTCGTATTCCAGTCATGGAGTTCTCCGATGAACAATGTGCAAGTGAGATCTTAGATCATTACATATAAACAAACTACCAGTTACTAACAAGTAAGTTAGGGATCCAAAAGTTTGCCTCAACGTATCCGTCTCCGAAGTCAATTATGACTACGGCAAAAAAACTCAAGAGGTGGAAGGAGTAGGCTTATAGAAGAGAATCTGATCCCAACCAAGTTATTCCTCAACTCCAACGTAGCTGACCTCCGGAATGACTGCTCATGAGCCCCAAGTTCAAGGCACGGGACATCTGAGCATCTAGGTACGAATTTCTGCTGTGAACTTTGATGATCGGCTTGCATCATGAACAATGAACGAAATCAGACTTCACAAAATTGAAGCACCGTTCGAGCAAAGTGTGGCCTCTCGTTCCATTTTCGAGTTCTCTGGAAGTACGGTCTTCTCAGCCCCCC